CTACACGAGTTTTAGCCCCCTTATTTCACCGTGTGGCTTCAGGTAATTCCCTTACTAGCAACATGCATAAAAATCCCACCTTATCTCACCACATGCGTATCAACCCCTATCCTTATATCACTGCATGCGTATCAATATCACAACACAATAATCAACTCGCACCACATGTGCCCATATGCCACAACACTTGCCAAAATCAACAATACCAATGATACCACAAAATATAGCCTGTGGCTCAACACAATGTGTACAAGAATCTCAATAACAACAAAATGAATGAGGAATACTCAACAAGGAAAGATATCTCAACAATTAACAACTTCAACCTCAATGTGATATTGGTTTTCACAACTTCAACATCAATAACTCAACAAAAAAGTATTCCACGAAATAACAACTTCAAGTAAGAGTAATTCAATAATAAAAAGGGGTAACAAGACAATAAGGGAGACATCAACTTCAACTAAAGCATATAAGAGCAATTACAACAATAATGGATAGAATAAATGCTAACAACGTCTATTAGAGCATGTGAGAGTAGATTTAAGTAAGAAAGATGTAACATATTATAACAAATTCAATTAAATACACGGAAGAAGTCTAAAAGTCTAAATTGGTCAAAATACCACATATAGCCCGCGTACACACTCGTCACCATGTGTACACATCTTCCACATAGCACAAATACCACACAACAACCGAAATCCTAAGGGGTAGTTCCCCCATTCAAAGTTAGGCAATATACTTACCTCAACTAGACCAAATCAACCCTCGAAGATAGCTTTTACCCTAAAAAAATTTTACGGCTCAAATCTAACAAAAAATGACTTAATATCATCAGACAATGCAAGGGGAACTAGTTACAATAGATAAAGCTATGATCTTTACACATTTCCCAAAAATTCAACAAAAGTCAACCCCGGGCCCGCCCGATTAAAATACGGGTCCAAGGGTAGATTCCGACTACCCATAATCCCACGAGTCCATATATGTGTTTTATTTTAAATCTGAGTCCAAATCGACTCTCAAAACTCAAATCTTTGACAAAAATCCCAATTTTCCTTGGTTCTCATAAATTTGATGTTAAATACTCCCTTCGTTTTAATTTATGTGAACCTATTTCCTTTTTAGTCCGTACCAAAAAGAATGACCCTTTCCTTATTTGGAAACAATATACCTTTATGCAATGATTATAGCCACACAAATCATATGTGCCTCATTTTACACCACAAGTTAAAAAGTCTTCTCTCTTTTCTTAAACTCCGTGCCCAGTCAAATGGGTTCACATAAATTGAAACGGAGGGAGTATAAGATATAATTATGAAATATTGTTGGCAATTGATTGGAATCACTTACCCAAAGTTTGTAGATGAAAATCCCCTCTCCAAATTGCCTCCTACCGAGTCTAGGGTTCTAAAATGAGAGAAAATGATATAAAATCCCAACTCCCAGCCCTTTTGTTCAGTTGCAGATGTCGCAATTGCAACACTAGATTCGCAATTGCGAACCCTCACAATTGCAAAAAAAAAAAGCTCGCAATTGCAGCTATTGACACAGTGAGGAGATGTCGCAATTGCGACACATACTTCGCAAATGCGAGAAAACAGTCACAAGTGCGAACTAGCCTTCCCCAAGCCCAGACTTCACAAATGCGAACAAGGTATCGCAATTGTGATACCTGAGCCTCCCCTACCATGTTCGTAATTGCGATACTGGTGCTCGCAATTGTGACATCAGAGCACCAGCACACCAGCAATCCTGTTTTCGGTTCAAAACCATTTCAAAGCACGTCCGAAAGCCCTTAGGGTTCCAAACCAAACATCCACACAAGTCTAAAAACATTATACGAACTCGCTCTCATGATCAAAACCCAAAATAACACCTAGAACTATGAATCGGACATCAAAACGTATAAATTTCAAAGAAAAGTTCAAAAACCTCCAGAATTGCAACCAATCATCCAAATCCTATGAAATCAACTTCAAATGACGCCAAATTTGAAGATAAGTCCTAAAAAGCATAACAGACCTATTGCAAGTCCCAAAACTAAATTCCGAACCCGATAGCCAAAAGCCAACCTACGGTAAAACTTGGAAAATCTTGTAAACCTCAAATTGCCAACTTTTGGCAAAATAACACAAATTAACCTACGGACCTCTAAATTCGATTCCGGGCATACGCCCAAGTCCAAATCACGATACGAACCAATCGGAGCCATCAAAACACCATTTCGGGGCCGTTTTCACAAATGTCAAACTTGGGTCAACATTTCTAACTTAGGCTTCTAAGCCAAGAACCAAAGGGTCCAAATCAACCCAAAACCTTCCTAGAACAAAACTAACAAACCCCGTAAGTCTTAAAGACACAAATACACATGTGTGAAGCATCAAAAGGGGAAACGGGCTACAAATACAAAAAATGACTGATAGGGTCGTTACATTCTCCCCCTCTTAAAACAAATATTAGTCCTCGAACGTGCATAGAGACATAGCTGAAGTGATGAAAAGGTGCGGATAACAACTCTACATATCGTGCTCAGTCTCCCAGGTCGCCTCCTTGATCGGATGACCCCTCTATTAAACCTTTACTGAAGCAATGTTCTTTGATCATAACTTCCGAACCTATCTGTCCAAGATAGACACCGGCTTCTCAACATAAGTCAAATCCTTGTCCAATTGGATTGAGCTGAAGTCTAATACATGGGACGGATCACCATAATACTTCCGGAGCATGTAAACATGGAACACCGGGTGGACCACCGATAGGCTGGGTGGCAATGCAAGCTTGTAGGCCACCTCACCAACTCTCTCAAGGATCTCAAAAGGACCGATATACCTAGGGCTCAACTTGCCCTTCTTCCCGAACCTTATCACACCCTTCATGGGTGACACTCAGAGCAAAACTCTCTCTCCCACCATAAATGCTACATCACGAGCTCTCTGATCAACATAACTCTTCTCTCTAGACTGTGCTGTATGAACCGGATCTTGAATTAACTTGACTTTCTCCAAGGCATTCCGAACCAAATCGGTTCCCAACAACCTACCGTCACCCGGCTCAAACCAACTAACTGGAGAATGGCACCCTCTCCCATATAGGACCTCGTAAGGAGCCATTTGAATACTCGATTGGTAGTTATTGTTGTAGGCGTAACTTTGTAAGTAGTAGGAACTGATCCCATGAATCCCCGAAATACATAAAACCGACGTGTAGCATATCCTTCAAAATCTGAATGGTGCGCTCGGACTGTCCGTCCTTTTGTGGGTGAAATGCTCTACTCAACTCAACCCGTGTGCCTAACTCATGCTACACGGATCTCTAGAAATGCGATGTGAATTACATGACCTGGTCGGAGATAATGGACACTGGCACACCGTGGAGATGAACAACCTCACAGATATAGATCTGAGCCAGCCGCTTTGAAGAACAGGTAGTCACCACCGGGATGAAATGTGCCGACTTGGTCAGCCTATCCACAATCACCCACAATGTATTAAATTTCTTCAAAGTCCGTGGGAGCCCAACAACGAAATCTATGGTAATACGTTCCCACTTCCACTCGAGAATCTCAAGTCTCTAAAGCAAATCGCATGACCTCTGATGCTCATACTTCACCTGCTGGCAGTTCAAGACCAAGCCACATACTCTACTATATCTTTCTTCATTCTTTTCCACCAATAATGCTGCCTCAAATCCTGCTACGTCTTAGCGGCACCCGGATGAATGGAGTACCGCAAATTGTGGGCCTGCTCAAGAATAAACTCATGCAACCCATCTACATTGGGCACATATATCCAGCCCTGCATCCGTAACACCCTATAATCTTCAATGAAAACCTCTTTGGTATCGCCGTGCTGTACCATGTCCTTAAGGACAAGAAAATGGGGGTCGTTATACTAACGCTCTCTGATGCTATCATATAAGGAAGACCGAGAAGCCACGCAAGCAAGAACCCGACTGGGTTCCGAAACATCTAGTCTCACAAACTGATTGGCCAGAAGCCTGAACATCTATGGCTAGTGGCCTCTCTGCCGCAGGCTGATATGCCAAACTGCCCATACTCTCCGCCTTTCTACTCAAGGCATCGACCATCACATTGGCCTTCCCGGGATGATACAGAAAAATGATGTCATAGTCTTTCAGCAACTCTAACCATCTCTATTATCGCAAATTAAGATCTATCTGCTTGAACAGATGCTGGAGACTCCGATGGTCGGTATAGGCCACACATGGAATACCGTACAAATAGTGCCTCTAAATCTTCAATGCATGAACAATAACTACCGATTCCAGGTCGTGCACCGGATAATTCTTCTCATGAACCTTCAGTTGTCGAGACGCATAGGCAATCACCCTACCGTCTTGCATCAACACCGCGCCAAGCCCAATACGTGATGCATCATACACAATGTAATAGCACGAGCCCGTAGGCAACGCCAACACTGGGGTTGTAGTCAAAGCAGTCTTGAATTTTTGAAAGCTCGCCTCACAGTCCTCGGACCATCTAAAAGGAGCACCCTTCTAGGTCAATCTAGTCAAAGGTGCAGAAATGGATGAGAAACCCTCTACAAAACGGCGATAATATCTGGCCAAACCAAGGAAACTCCGAATCTTAGTAGTTGAAGACAGTCTAGGCCAACTCTGAAATGCTTCAATCTTCTTCGGATCAACCTTGATCCTCACAGACACCATATGACCCAAAAACGCCACCGAATCAAGCCAGAATTCACACTTGGAGAATTTTGCATATAATTTCTTCTCCCTCAAGGTCTGGAGCACGATCCTCAAATGTTGCTCATGATCTTTCCCGCTGCGAGAATATACCAAGATGTCGTCAATAAACACAATGACGAATGAGTCAAGATATGACTGGAATACACTGTTCATCAGGTGCATGAATGCTGCTGGGGCGTTGGTCAGCCCAAATGACATCACTAGAAACTCGTAGTGACCATAACAAGTCCTGAAAGCAGTCTTCAGAATATCCCGATCCCGAATCTTCAGCTGATGATACACTGCAAATCAATTTTCGAGAACACTCTAGCACCCTGAAGTTGGTCAAATAAGTCATCAATACGCGGTAATGGGTACTTGTTGTTCACGACAACCTTGTTCAACTGCCTATCATCAATACACATCTGCATAGAACCATCCTTCTTTTTCACAAACAGAACCGGAGCACCCCAAGGTGACATTCTAGGCCGAATGAAACCCTTATCAAGCAACTCTTGCAGTTGTTCCTTTAACTCCTTCAACTCTGCTGGTGCTATACGATATGGTGGAATAGAAATGGGCTGAGTGCCCGGCACCAGGTCAATACCGATATCAATATCTCTATCGGGCGGTATGCCCGGTAGGTCTGCTGGAAACACATCTGGGAAATCCCTCACTACCGGAACTGACTCAACGGTAGGAGTATCAGCACTGACATCCCTCACAAAGGCTAGATATGCTTCACACCCCTTCTCACCATCCGTTGTGCCTTAAGAAAGGACACAACTCTACTAGGAATATACTCCAATGTACCTTTCCACTCCAACCACGGCAAACCTTGCATAGCCAGTGTCATAGTCTTGGCGTGACAGTTAGCATGATAGGGCAACAACCAGTCCATGCCCAAGATCACATCAAAGTCGAACCATATTGAGTAACAGTAGACCAACTCTATTCCCAAAACCACCAATAACAACTAAACAAGACCTATAGAAAGTGGTGGAAGTGGCAGAGCAAAATAGGCAACCTAGGACCCAGAGTAGCCGGAGCACCGCTAGTAGATGGAAGTGCTGAACGAACTAGATGGCTCACATAGCCTCTGCCATGATGGGCTGAAACTGGAGCGCGAGCACCACTATAGCCTCCCGAATCTCGAGGCCTCTTGGCCTCCCTGTCCTCTCTCTCACGGCCCCGCATACCTTCCAACCTCCGCGCAATTTCTACCACCTGTTAGCACGGAGTATCTGTCTCCAAATCTCGAGTCATGATTAATCTAATACCATAGCTGAGCTCCTTGATGAATATGCAGACTCACTCTCTGACTGTAGAAACCAAGGTAGGTGCATGTCGGGACAACTCACTGAATCTGATAGCATACTTTGACACTGTCATGGTCCGCTGACGCAACGACTCAAACTTTATGCGCCATGCATCCCGAAGTGTTTGGGGAAAAAATTCTCTTAAAAACATCTCTAAAAACTGAGCCCAAGTAAGTGGGGCTGCATCAGCTGGCCTACTCTCATCGTAAACCTGCCACCACTGATACATTGCTCCTGACAGCTAAAATGTAGTAAAAGAAACTACGCTCACCTCCACAATACCCATGGTGCAGAGAATACGATGGCACTTCTCTAGAAAACCATGCACATCCTCGGTAGTTGCGCTGCTAAAAGTAGGACAATCATACTTCTTGAACCTCTCAAGTCTTCTCTGCTCCTCCTCAGATGCGGGTGGCCTGACCTCAGGCTGAACCGGTATAACGGGCTGTGTTGGCATGACACCCGGGACCTGATCGACGTGGACCTAGTGATTAGGAGTATGGGCTGCAGGAGTCTGAGCTCCTCCCTAGCCTGAGATGTGGCTGGTGCAAGGAGAATCAATCCCGTCTAAACTAGAGTGACGAACATGCTCAAAAACTATGCTAGGGTCTCCTGAAGTCCAGGGGCAACAACAGGCGCCTCGGGTGCCTCTCCCCCAACTGGAGCTACTGGTGGCTCCTTAATCGCTGCTCGAGTAGGTGCTCTGGCTGCAGCATGTGCCCCTCCTCGGCTCTGCCCCAACCCTGGCCTCGCGCAACTCTAGTAAGGGGTGCAGTGTCTGATCATCGGATCCAGCAGTGCATGTCCTCACCTTCTTTAAGAGAATAAAAGACAAGTTTATATTTCGAAGTCAACCAATTCGCACGATAAGGAATCAAAGAAGTGGAATGTTACATGCCATGTTTTCGTACTTAAGAGTACGCCGTAAGTTAATTGATGTAAGCTTAGAAATGAAATCATCTTTGAAAAAAATTTATAAAGTAAGTTAATCATGTTAATGTGGAAGTTAATAATATTTAAGATCATGAATAACAAGTACCAAGATGGTTGGAAGGCTTAGAAGCTAAACGAATTGAAGAAGATAAGTTTTGTCGAAAGTCGACAAGTTTGGTGTTACACCCTGTGCGTTCTAAGGTGACGTATAATGAATATGAGACTTGCTAATCATGATTGAATGAGTGTAAAGTAATAATATGACTATATATGATGTTTGGATATGAAATATAAAGTTTGGGAAAAATTGGATTTAACTTACGGAAAAATCGAGTTAAGATTTGCCTTGTAACGAGCCATTTTTAGAAATTAAATTCGTAAGCTTTATGATGTCATTTTGGCACATGTGTCATAGAAAAATGAAGGTCTTGGAATAGTTTCCAACAGTCCAAACCATTTATTCATACGACATCGGGGTAGAAATATGGATTTTTAAAGTAAGGGTCACCAAGTCACGTTGCCGCACTTCGGAGAAATTGGCAGGTTTATTGGCCAAGTTGTGACGAAGTTTTCTCCCAATATATTGAGAGTTGGAGATATTTATATGGAATTAAAGCTCTATGTTTCTAGTTTCCAACTCTGCAAACTGTTTGTCAATACGATATCGGAGTAGAGAGATACAAGTGTCCGAAGTGGTACTACTCAAGCTGCCAAGCAGGCAGCTTACCCACCTACTTGGAGAATTGAGGCGGTGGGCTTATAAGTTGTTTTTATCCATTATATTTCATCAATATCCAGAGATAAACTACTGCAAAACACTCTCAAACTCTCAAAGAACTTGTCCAAGGTTCCAAGAACTAAACTCAAGAGAAATCAACTCAAATCCTCATTAATGGTGTTAAAGACTACAAGAGAATACTTCTATGATGTTGTGGTGTGATTGAGGGCTATTGTGAGATAAGTGGGATGGGGTTTCAAGTTGTATCTGCTGTCCAAGGTATGTATAACATATTCTTGATTGTGCCTAAGGTTAATCTGTTGTTTGTTGTGTTGTTTGAGTGAAAAACCATAAGATGCACTTGAAGGAACATGGGATACGGTTGTCTTTTTCGTTGGACTATTTTGCGGTTAAAAATATGGTTTGTGGTGGCTGAAAATTGTGAGAAATGATTTGATAATGTTGTGGCTGCTGTTGTTAAGCTTTCCTAGGTGTTAATTAAGTTGATTGAAGAAGAAAATATGAAAAACAAGTGATTGACGATAAAAATTAAGGTGCTAGACGTATGGGGCTGTTTTGGAAGGCATTTTGTGGAGGTTTTAAACTAGAAATAATATGTTACATATAAGTATGATGCTCTGAAGGTTGTAAACCAATTTATGGAATAAGAGTTGGATTCAATTTATATCTTGTTATGAGTAAAAGAAACGAGCTTGCCGCTCAATATGATTGTTAAGATAATCGGAGAAACTCATATTTGATTATATTGTTGTTGTTGCTGGTGTTGGTTATAGTTGTTGTCTTTGGGTTGTTGATGAACCTTAGTGGTCTTTAGGATGTATTAAAAATAGAGGAGTTGCTGCCCGATTTTCCTTAAGTCATGCGACTAGCCAAATACGATGGTACGACATTATATGTTAACGACAATATCATTTCACTTGTTGTAGATGCAAGAAGTTGTGTTGAGCATGGTTGATTAATAAGGAAGAGATCATACAGGTATGTTAAGACTATCCCTTTTTTCTTTTTGGCATGATCTATACAACAAGAACGAAAGAGCAAATGCACAACTTCCATAAATGACTCTATTCATAGAAATACTAGAGATGCCTATGTTCTTGATTCCCCATATGTCTTATTATTCTATCGTCTGTTCATGGGTCTCACAAAATACGTAAATTGATAGAGTTTATTTCATGATGTTAATAAGAGGTATAATGATCTTATGACGTGCCAAGAGATTTTATTAACGTATTTCATATGCATTTCATGCATTTATGCATGCACACTGACCCATGAGCAGATGTCGTTATATACGCATACATATATGTATATATATGTATATGGGATATGGGAAAGGTTGTGGCGTTATATACGCACCACCACCCGATCAGCTCGTATACGTTGATGATTTTGACCACAGTGGCCTAGATGATATGATGGGATTCCCTCAGAGGCTTGATGATGTTATGAACACATGTACATATGCACGACATGACATTCATACGCATATGCATGACACTATAAGTATTTCATGATTTACAGAGTTATCCAGACTTACAGGTTAAGTCACTTACTCTATATTTCTTCCATGTCTTTTATGTACTTATTTATGTGCCTTACATACTAAGTACATTATTCGTACTGACGTCCCTTCTGCCTAGGGACGCTGCATTTCATGCCCGCAGGTCCTGATAGACAGGTCGAGAGTCCTCCAAGTAGGTATCAGCTCAGCGGAAGATGTTGGTGCGCTCCATTTGCTCCGGAGTTGCTTGTTTGGTCAGTATGATTTGGACGCGTATTGTTTGGTATGGCAAGGCCCTGTCCCGACCTTTATGATAAGTATGTACTCTTGGAGGCTTGTAGACAGATATCATGTATACGGATACTTGTATGGCATTGTCAGCCTATGTTTCGAGTATATAAAGAATCATGCCGGCCTTATAGGCCCGTACTTCATATGTATAAGTTTGTATTCGCTCATGTTTTACTCCAATTCATTTACCTATGATAGAATGATATGAAAGATACGTTATGTTGGTACTTGGTTGAGTAAGGTACCGGGTGCCCGTCGCGGCCCATCGGTTTGGGTCGTGACAAAAGTGGTATCGGAGTAGTTCTATCCTAGGCAGTGTACAAGCCGTGTGTAGTAGAGTCTTGTTTATGGGAATGTTGTGCACCACAGTTATAAGCAGGAGGCTACAGGGCATTTAGGATTGTCACTCTTTCTTCTTACTCTAGTTCGTGTGGTAGAGCTCAGTTGTAAGAACTCAGTGTACGGTAGAAATCGACGGTTCGATTTCACGAGCATCAAGGTGTCTCCGGGGTTTCCTGTGATCGACTCCGAGAATTCTCGATGGTTTACTTCGAGATAGTATAAGTACTGACCGACCTCGAGGCAACGTAAATTAGTGGTCTCGGCGAACCAAGGTGAAGTTCCCAAGGCGCGCACATACAACCTGTCAAGTCTAGCGGGCCAGTAAAAAGGTGAATCAAGGCATTAAATGGCTATGTCAGCCCATATCTTTGTAATTAATGCTTTTGTACTATATTGGGTTTCCCCCTCATATATAAAGGGGATCCTTGTCATTTTGCAAAGATCTGTTGCTCCATACTAAAATACACAAGAACATTCTCTCCGCTCTCTAACATATTCTCCTAAGTTCATTACTTCGTTTATTGCTTGCATTCATTGTGTTCTATTTATTGTTCATCATTTATTGCTAATTATTGGCCATAAAGAGCCGTCGTTGATTTCATCCCAATTGTTAGTTGCCCACCGACTAAACCCGATAGCTCCCGGCCGAGCTTCAGACTCGATCTCGAAGCCTCGAATAAGTAATCTCGAGACCCCGATCGACAGTGACTCGGTTTGGTTAACATCTCATTTTAGAGCTCTTATCTCGCTTCTAAGTCTTTCACATAGCATCAACTGCTTAACGACCGGCATAAAAATAGATCACGTATTTTTAGAATCCCATAATCAAATTTAATTGTTATTACCATTTTCACGGTAAACAGTTTGGCGCCCACCGTGGGGCTAAAAATAATAGTGATTATTTTCTTGCTGGTTTAACCACGTAATGCAAGTTATCTTTCACACCTTTTCTTATCCAAGATCTTTGATTTCAGGTCAAATGTCTAACTCAGTAAACGCACGTGAAAACATCAACCTGAAGACCATGGAGAAAATGGTGTTGACGTCCCAGGTGTTGGTGTACCACCACGAAACCCTGAGAATGCACCAGAACTGATTCCCGTGGATGCCGTTTCACACGACGCTCAACACGTCGAAATAAGCTCCCACACCGACAGGAGCATACACCAAGGCGACCAACAAGAAACCCAAAAAACCCCAGCTCGGGAAGAACGGGAGGTTAGACTTCACGTTATTTTTGAAATATTGCAGGCACAACAGCTGGCTATTGCTCAACTGCAAAGTCACCAGAAAACTCCTAGCACGGTAGCACTGGGGACGGCTCCCCCGGCCGAGCAGGTACCAGAGAGATCAAGCAACAATGGGTCGGCAGCTGGCCCCGCCATCGTAAAGATGCTCGAGAACCTCACGAGGAGGATTGAATCGGGCAAGAAGAAGATAGAGGCCAACGACAAAAAGGTCGAGACCTATAATTTTAGGGTCGACCAGATCTCGGGACCACCCCCGATCCTAAAAGGTGTGGATTCGAAGAAGTTCGTGCAAAAATCTCTCCCACAGGAAGCGGCTCCGAAACCCATTCCAAAGAAGTTCAAAATGCCCGACCTTCCAAAGTATAGTGGAACGTCGGATCCCAACGAGCACGTCACTG